AAATTCTTTCGTTTTATATGTAACAAACTACTTAATCTGTTTTACGACACTTAAACTGATAAAATAAAGAAAACCGTAATAAAATCAACTCTAATATTCATATAATAAAAAGGTTCTAAAATGCCATGGTATTACAAAAAGAAAATATATGACCAAGTCATGTCACAACTCAAAATAATACTCACATGGTATACAATAACAGAGTACCTAAATCTATTTAGTGACTATTATACTCACCAAGGTACTAAAACAACACTTATAAATTAAACATTAGCTCTGAGATGTCAGCTCTGAAAGTTACACAAAGACATCAGGTTACCATACTAATAGGGTTGGACAAAACATTTCAAAGTTTATAAAAAATTAAAAAAGAAGAATAACCCCTGCCCTTATTAGATAGTACATATAAATTTACCCAGGAACATCTAATCATATGACAAAATCGTATACATACGAGCATTACAAACAACGACCCCTACTAAAAGTATAAAATAAAGTAATCCATAGAAAGTCATAAAATTGACGTGGTCAAAGTGAAAATACACCATATAAAATCATACAATATTAATTCATACGACATAAATTTAAGATAGTTAAGAGTAAAATATATTCTCTTAACTGAATGACCCTTAAAAAAAAGGTGAACTCTTATCTTTCCTTAATCTACTAAAACACAAGTTTATATTTATCATAGTCGCATTATTTCACGATTGACGATGACAAGAGATACAAAAATTGGATCAAAGCAAACTAAAGAAACGAAGAGGAAAAAAAAAACAAAGGGAACAAGACGCATGAAAAGGGCTTCATCATCATGATGAGCTCGTAACTAACTGCTACTCAGTCACATTACCATTATGGATTCATGCATTCATATCCTAACTAATTTCTAGAAGCTTAAAGTACCACTGTAGATTCAGGCATACGTATCCTATCTAATTGCTACAAGCATAAAGCCGTTGATTCAGCCATTATCAGCCTGTTTTACTCCTGTCCACATACACGCTTTCTATCGATATATGATCATTGATCCGAATTGATATCTATTGGATCCAATATTAACCGTGGGGGATAAAAAAAAGTAACGTTATTTCACTATTGACAATTGTTCATCAAAATTGACGAAAGGATACAAAAATTAGACTGAAATAAACAAGTTATACAAAGTAAATAAGAAAAAAAGTAAAACAAGAAGAAAAGAACAAATTACAAAAGAAAGTCAGTATCCGCATTCTTAGACATGATTTTAGCAGGAAAAAAAATGGCTTTCTTTCATCATAATACTCCATCGGACCCTTATCAACGCTGTTACGATATTGATACTTAATCGAAATGAGAAAACGGATCCTAGTTTAACGCCGGATACTCACCCTGCTAACACTATTCACTTACTATTCAACATAATAATTATACAAAACAATCACACATTCTTGACCAAAAAAAAAAAATATTTTTATCCATACGTATCCCCCTCTTTAAATATCGACGGGTTTGCTCCGAACTTGTATTTATCAGAACAAGTATTAACTGTGGAATAAAATGACAATGACATTTTAACAAGTGTATATATAAGGAGGTTCCTTTAGCACTACAACATGTAGTACTCATTTAGGTGTGGGAATGTTTGTAACTTCCCTATATTGGTTGGGCATGAGTCTTTAGTGTGGTGGACTTTATAGGTAAACTGGTCATATAATAGGGTATTGCACAAATCGCAAAATTCACTAGATAAAAAAAAAATACTCTAACAATCTAAGTGAACATACTAATATACTTAATATACTCTAAAGGAGTAAATAATGCTTATTTATAGAGAAAATGACATACTCCCCTAGCCAGACAAAAAAATATTATACTTTATACTATACGATTATTATACATCTACGTATAGAAATACGGTCTAAAATATCTGGCCTACTTTTTACTATAAAAAGAAATTACCCTTATCCAAGATCTCCACTCACCACTTAATTCTTATCTTCTTCCATCTTCCTCCTTACCCGAAAATATCAAACAAAAACCACCATTAAACTCAACCACCATGTTTCAAGAAAACCAGGAAGATCAACCTGTCTTCACCTTTGAGGAAGACATGAGGATGATAAGGGTGTACTTCATGTACATTGTGGGGCTAGTGGTCCTCCTAATGGCCGTATTAATTTACTTGTTAATCCATAAGTAAAAAAAACGAAAATTACTTCGGTGGAGCAGGGTAGAAATGCATGTAGTGTTAGTTGTACTTCAATATTTTGTAATTTAGTAGTTTAGAAGTACAAATTATAACATGTATCTTGGGAATTATGAATAAAAATCATTATTATTACTCTTTTTCTTTGTTTAAAATAATAAAACGAGCATCATTAAGTTTATAAAAATAATTAGCAAAATAATAATAATTATTTGCAAAGAAAACGATAACTATAAATAAAAGATAATTAATAATGATAATTACAAAGGTAAGATCAAAATTTGGTGTCTACAGATTGCCCCCACATTGATTGAGTTTAAATAAAACGATAATCAATGTTTGAGAAAAGACACAAAATTTTGATGTATGTTAAAAAAAGAAATCCTAATTGATCTTCATTTAAACATTGACCTGAGTACAGTTGAAAAACTGGCTACAAAATAGAGTGAAGTTCTCACTCAATTGCAACACAAATGTTGGCTTGGGTGCAGTTGAAAAACTGGCTGAAAAATAAAGTGAAATTCTCACTCAATTGCAACACAAATGTTGGCTTAGGTGCAGTTAAAAAACTGGCTGAAAAATAGAGTGAAATCCTCACTCAATTGCAACACAAATGTTGGCTTAGGTGCAATTGAAAAACTGGCTGAAAAATAGAGTGAAATTCTCACTCAATTGCAACACAAATATTGGCTTAGGTGCAGTTGAAAAAAAACTGGTTTAACCTTGCAGAAGATTAAAACTCCGATTTGCACGAGCTTGAAGAAAAAAAATAACAATCATTCTTGAAAAAAACACAGTTTATGGATTTTGGATGCAAAAACAGCAGGTGGTTTGTACTGAGTTTTCGGAAAAGTAAACTCCTTCGGCCCTTTCTCCCTGGCTCCATTACCACCACCACCCCTATAAAAAAAGGGTGGTGTTCATTCCTTTCTACACCAAATCAACTCCCTTCTTCTTCTTTCAAGCTTCTCAAGTCTTATTTATTCTCTCCTCAAATTTCTAAGAAAAAATGAATGCCATGTTTCAAGAATTCAATGAAATCAGTGGAGCTAGAAAGCTCCAACTAAAAGGGGTGATAGAAAACATTTCTCCACCTCGTCTTTCCCCTTATACAAGTGTCTTTAATAGAACCATCACCCCTCTCCTAGTTATTCAACCTCAGTATGATATGATTCATGCTGCTGTTGAATTTTGGGATGAAGAACGCCATGTTTTTCGCTTTGGAGAGACGGAAATGACTCCTCTTCTAGAAGAAGTGGAGGGTTTACTTGGCCTTCATAAAGAAGGTCGTGTGATTACACCTGCTGACCCAAGGGCAACTAATGCGGTTATGAGAGATTTGCTAGGTATACCATTAAATATGGAAAGCAATTATCGCCTGCTTGACATTTTAATTTTAGAGAACTTCCTTGAAACCTTCTCTTTATCTCATTAGGAATTTGCCAACAATGAGGATTTCAAAAAGTGCCAAGAAAGAGCTTGCATCCTTTTATTGCTCGGCCTTGTTTTACTTAAGGAATCATTATTTTCCTGTCATGTTCGTTGCCTTTCTTTGTTGTCACAGATTGAGTCAGGGAACCGTTTAGGGCCTCTTATCCTAGGGGAACTTATGATGGGGCTTGACCATCTGAAACAAAACCCAGGTGGTTTTGTTAAAGGGTGTCCAATTGTGCTTCAACTTTGGTTATGCGAGAAATTCAAGCTGTCTAGACCACCTTTTCGAACTCCTTACCAAACCCGACATATTCGGGAGAGAGGCCTTTTTCCTATATTTCGTCAATGTTGCAATCACGGTGGATAGGTAGACGTCTTTTCCGTAGCTGATGTGGAATGGATCATTTCATTTCTCAATATAAATTCCATAACAATTAGCACTAGCAGGCGCAGAAGTGTTCAACTTCCAGGATTGTGTCGCGTCACATTCTATCTTCCTTGGAGATGCTTGAGACAAGCGGGCCAACTCCAACGACTCCTAGAGCTCCATGAGCTCCCAATGGTACCTTGTACCACTTATGAAATTGGTAGTGTGGAAGCTCTTAGGGCGTCATCCCGTGTATGGCAATTTGCACGAATGCTTCCAGCACTTTCAGTCCTCGAAGATGATGTTCCAACCGCGTCCTATACAACATGGTTGTTGGAGGACCTCTAGGGTGATGCTTAAATAAATCCTTAGAGGGATTTCGTTATTTGTGCTTCATAATTTGTATTTTGTGTTTCCCTTGCTTATGTATTTTCAATTCCAAAAGAAGAAATTGTATCCGAAGGCATTGGTCTCTTGGGTATGGTGTATGTGGTTGTTGTTTCCATGTTTAAAAATGGATGTAATCTCGCCAAAAACTGAGAGAGTTTGTGTTATGATCAAATAATAAAAAAAAAATGTTTGTTGTAATCATATTTTGTTAAGTATTGCCTTGATCATGATCATTTAATAATAATGAATATTTCTACATGACTCTTAAGCATGCAATGCAAACATGAATGAAATCTAAACTTTAACATGATACACATGACTATCTAGAGTTAGTAGGAGATTCACGTTTTTTTTTTTTTTTTTTTTTTTTTGCGAATCCCATAAATACAACACCGTACTAATCAAGCATAATACTTTTTTAACTGATCAAGGTTGGTGAAATGAACAAATTCATTTCCATCAAGATCCATCAATTTTACTGCTCCTGCTGGTGTAAGATGTTTGACCAGGAAGGGACTAGACCAGTTGGGCTTGAACTTTCCACGTGGATCATGAATCGGTGCTCGATTTTCCTTAAGTACCAAATCTCCCTCTTGGATATTCCTTTCCCTGACCTTTTTATTAAAAAGCCCGAGCAATGCGTCTTTGATAAATTTGAATGTTGTGAAGGGCTTGTAACCTTCGTTCACTTGCCAAAGAAAGTTCATCATATCGTTCTTTAAGCCATTGTTCTTCAGATATCTCGCTTTCATTCATTACGCGAAGCAATTGAATCTCCGTTTCGATTGGAAGAAGCGGATCCATTCCATATACCAAAGAATATGGAGAAGTCCCAGTTGGTGTTCGAATGGAAATTCTGTATCCCCAAAGTGCGCAGGGAAGTTTATCGGGCCATTCTCGAGCCCTATCTGTCATCTTGGCGATTATCGTCTTGATGGTTTTGTTAGCTGCTTCAACAGCTCCATTGGTTTGAGGACAATATGGTGATGATTGGTGATGTCTGATTTTATACTTCTCAAGGGTTTCTTTGAGATGGCCTTCAAATTGCGAACCATTGTCGGAAATAATCTCAAAAGGTACCCCATACCGACATATAATGTTATTGATTACAAATTTTGAAACTTGTTTTGCACCTAGTTTTGAATATGATGATGCCTCCACCCATTTCGAAAAATAATCGACAACAACCAATATATATTGATGCCCGTTCGAAGCTTTCGGATGTATTTTCCTAATGATATCTATGCCCCCTGGAAAAAGGCCATGGAGAAGTAAAATTATTCAGGCTAACTGGCGGCATATGATTAAGGTTTGCAAATAGCTGACATTTTTTGCACGTTCGTACGAAATGGATGCAATCACTTTCCAAAGTGGTCCAATAATACCCTGCTCGCAGAATCTTCCGAGCAAGAGGCCCACATTCTCCCCCATGTACCTCTTCCATGATCCTTTGTGTCTGCTCCCCATCGATGCATAATTGAAAATTTCCATCGAAACTCTTATGATACAACAAACCTTTCAATATTGTGAAATGAGAAGCTAGCCTTCGAATAGCCAATTGATCCTTCTTGTGACTTTCTTTAGGATATTCTCCATTGATTAAATACTTCTTAAAATCAGTATACCAAGCATCCTCATCATCTTCTTGGGTTAATAAAGCAATTGTTGGTTTAAAATTAACCACTGGAATTTCTTTTTCTACAATTGTTACCGATTGTACCTTCACATCATCGTCCCAAGTTAAATTTACCGCCAGATTTGCCAAAGCATCGGTGAAACTATTTTGTTCGCGAGGGAGATGTTTGAACTCTATATCTTCAAATAATGGGATAAATTGTTGAAGATACTCCGTGCACATTTGCAACCTTTCGTCCTGAACTTTCCAAGCTCCAATAGTCTGGGAAATTATGAGATAAGAATCACCGTATACTGTGAGATTTCTTGCACCAGCTGCTAATGCCGCTTCGATTCCATAGATGCATGCTTCATATTCAGCCGTGTTATTCGTCGTTGGGAAACTAAGCTTCACAGCGAAAGGAATATGTACTCCATAAGGATCGATCAATAATACCCCTGCACCATTTCCCCTTCTATTTAAGGCTCCGTCGAAATACATCTTCCATTATGACGTACTAAGACAGAAAATATGTTCATCTGGAAAATCATCATCAAATTCATCACCCGATATAGGTCCATCAGCTAAAGCTTCAGATATAGCCCTCCCTTTGACAGACTTTTGATTCACGCATTGAATGTCAAATTCTGACAATATCGCATGCCACCTTGCTATTCTTTCACTCAAGATTGGCTTCTCAAAAATGTACTTGATTGGATCTAACCTTGAAACCAGATAAGTAGTATGTGCTTGCAAATAATGTCGAAGCTTCTTTGTCGCGTAAATAAGGGCAATGCAAGCTCTTTCTAAAGGAGTGTATCTAGTTTCATACTCAAGGAACTTTTTACTGAGGTAGTAGATAGCTATTTCCTTCCTCGTACCCTCTTGGTATTGTGCCAAAGGAGCTCCCATGGCTGTTTCCGTAATAGTAAGATATAATATCAAGGGCTGCCCTGGTTTCGGCGGCATTAAAACCGGAGGATTGGAGAGGTATTCTTTCATTAAATCAAATGAGGCTTGACATTCGTCATTCCACTTTGTAGGAACATTTTTCTTAAGTAACTTGAATATAGGTTCACACCGGGTTGTCAATTGCGATATGAACCTACTAATATATTGAATTCTACCAAGAAATCCCCGAATCTCCTTTTCCGTCCTTGGCGGAGGAAGCTCTTGTATGGCCTTTACCTTGTCAGAATCAACCTTAATTACGTCTTGACTTACGACGAAGCCTAGAAGTTTTCTCGAAGTTACTCCAAATACACATTTTTGAGGATTCAATCTCAGATTGTATTTCCTAATTCTATCGAAGAATGATTTTAAAGCATCAAGGTGCATTTCACGATCATGACTTTTGACAATCATGTCATCAACATAAACCTCCACAATATCGTGGATGAGGTCATGCAAAATCGTCGCTGCAGCCCATTGATAGGTTTCCCCAGCATTCTTTAATCCAAAGGGCATTGCTCTATAACAAAAGGTTCCCCATGAGGTAATAAAAGAAGTTTTGGACATGTCCTCTTCTAACATAAGCACCTGATTATATCCCGAGAGTCCGTCCATGAATGAGAACATGGCGTGTCCAGCAGTGTTATCAACCAGAACATCAATGTGGGGCAAAGGAAAATAGTCTTTTGGTGATGCTGAATTTAAATCACTAAAATCAATGCACACTCGCCACATTTTTTGGGTACTACCACCACATTCGCCAGCCTTTCCGGATGCTTAATTGGTTTGATGAAGTTGGCATCAAGCTGCTTTTGAATTTCCTCCTTAACTTTGAGACTAACTTCTGGTTTCATTCTACGAAGCTTTTGTTGCTTTGGCTTGCTATCGGGATAGAGTAGTATACGATGTTCAGCAATGCTACGATTGACACCAAGCATATCAGCATAAGACCATGCAAACACATCCACATATTCTTTAAGTAAAATAATAAATGCATTTTATTCATCGAGGGAAAGGGAGGATCCTATCTTGACTTCTTTTACATCATTATCCGTACCTATGTTTACAGTTATAGACTCTTCCATGGGTGTCACACATGATTTAGGTTCATTGAAAAGTTCATTATTAGAAAATGCTTCATGATCAAGATCAATTTCTTGTACGCAAATATGTTTACAAGTAATTTTATCGATATCTTCATGATATGGGATATCAGGCAGTGTATGGATAGATGATTGGCTAGATGATGAGCTATCGGTTTCATAACCGTCTGAGATAGAGGATTGAAAAGGATATAGTTTAGGGAAAAAAGGGAATTGTTCTCGAGTTTTGGATCGGATATTGTTTTCAACTTCTGTTTTTATTGGAGTAATAAGCGTAATGGGATCCAATCGGACTTCATAATCAGAAATTGATGAAAACAAGCCTCTTAGAACTCCTTGCTTTAGATGGTCAGCCCAATCAAAATCTTTCTTAAATACTGGTTTCTTATCAAACCATTTCTTAATAAATTCTTCATTCCTTGCTTCTGCAAAGAAAATTTCTAACCCAGGGAGAATTTTCTCTTTATCCAAGTCATACCAAGGTTCAGGAAACTCATAAAATGGCTCAGTTTCATTTTGCAACTCAAATTGCCCATTCAAAGTGAGAGAATTCTTTTTCATAACCTTAGAACCCATGTTCTCATCGAAGCCCAAACCATGACGATTTCGCTTATCGATTATTGGGATTGGGTGCCTCATGCCTTCACCGTTTCGTCCTAAACCAGCTCCTGGAACATAATCCATTTTCAACATCAATTGAAGTCCTCTAGTAAGTGTTTGGGGTATTGGATCTTGGATTTCTTGAATGGAATCCGAGGGTAGAGTAGATTTTCGAGTTTGGTTGGTCATGGGTTGGCAAAGGATACCTAAACATTACATACCGAAGATTAGGATTTCCTCCTTTTTTTTTGAAAATAATTAAAAAAAAAGTAAACGATAAATGCAAAAATGCATGCGAAAAAAAAGGATTTTGGTAAAAATTAAAGGACGTCTATTAAGTTAGATAAGTTAGTGGGGTGTTCATTCCCAAAAAAAAAACTTTTTAATTATTTCGGGTCGCGCCATAAGGCTGCCTACATATCTCCAGATAGATTTTTTTGTAGTTTCACATTTTTTTTTCTCTTTTTTTTTTTGGAGAATCAGACCCGTCGTAGTTCAAAACGGAAGAAGGAGGTTTTTTTTTTGAAACAGTTGCACTCGATCAGAGTTGCCTACGTACCCCAATAACAATGTGCGTGCAAGTACAATTTTGTGTATGATCATGAAATAGTGCTTTAGGGGATCAAGCTGTACGTAGTTCTTTGTACCAAAAGAAAACATAAGGAGGAGAAAAAAAAATGCTTGGTTTACAGTGCTCATATTACCCCTTTTATTCATCCTTCTTGATGGAGGGTAAGATAGAGGTCACCATGTCGTTGTAGATGCTTCCTTTCCCATGTATAGATTACTTAGGCTTTAAGGTTTTCAACTGTCTTTCTAGTAGTCCGAGTAGTGAAGAGCAATCAAAAGAGTGGGATCATCTTCGTGTGTCCAAAGGGAAAGGGAATTTATGGACACTTTCTGATTCGGGCGGGAAATTCCAGTTGTGCGCTTTATACACCAACGGAGGGCGTGACATTCGTTAGTATCATGGCCATGTAACTGATGATAGTGACAATATTTGTTGAGATTTGGTCCAACAGGATCAGCTCCTGCTCGACGAGGTAGTGGTTTGATACGACCTTCTTTGAATAGTTGAAGGAACAAATCAGCTTGAGAGGCCCGTGGTTGTGCCGGGCTTGTCTCTGGTACGCTAGACTTAGGATGGGCCGGAGTGATGATCCCACGATCAATAAGATCCTGGATTGCACATTTAAGGTCGTAACAAGTATAGGTTCTATACCCATATAGATGACAATAACTGTAATATTGTCTCATATCGGTCCCATGTGGTGGTAATGAATACACATAGCTTTTTGCCTGAAGAATTCCCTTTTTGCTCAAACGATCGTACACCACACTCAATGGTTCGTCGATTCGAGTGAATATCCTCCTGTTAGCTCTTTCACCTTGAGGGTGCACCTTAGGCCTTCTTTCCTGTAGTCGATAGGCATCAATTTCGTAACCATGTCTCTCCATGTGCGAGAGACCGGCGTATTTGATGGAGACCATATGTTGATAATAAAAATCATTTAACTTCCTTAGCAATATCAACATAAACTCTCGATCAGTTATGGGAAAACGAAGTCGAGCCGAATGTGAGAACATCTTGAAAAGAGATGTGAAAATGATTCCCGGTCACTTTGCTCCATATTCACTAGCTTCAGTTTTTCGGTGTCAGTCTGTCGAAATTCAAATGCCCAGTCACTGAATGCTTGAGCTATTTCTCCCCAAGAGCCTTTACTCGTTACCCCTGAGGTATAATACCAGGATAATGCGGGTCCACCCAGACTTCTATTAAACAACATAGGAAAATGTTCTTCTGGAACATTTAAAGGGTATAAGGTATTCACAAAGTTGTATAAATGGAGAATAAGATCTCCCAACCCATTGAACTTCTCAAACTGAGGAAGATTAAGATAACGGTCTACATGCCTGTAGTTAGGGAAAAAAATCAACTCCTTTGGGTATACCAACCTTCTATAACACAGGACATCAAAATCCAAATCAAAATCCTCGGCCCTAGACCTCTTCCGAGATCCCTCATCATGTTTAAAGGAATTACTTGTCCAAGATTCTCCTATAAAACAAGGATCGCTGTCTTTTGGAGTTTTAGGCTCCTCTTCTACCCCATCTTCATTGGACCAGTTTGTTCCATCTCTAGCTCCTTGGGGATTAACCCCAGAATCATTGTCATTTTCTTGAAGCTCTTCTTTCTGGATCTTCCTCAGTTTCTTCTTTCGGATCTTCCTCAGTTTCTTCATCTTCCTCTAAGTCCACTTCCGGATCTTCCTCTGTTTCTTCTTCTTTTTTCCATGAGCTACTTGAATCAAATCCAATATTATGAATAGTGAATCCGTCTAATTGACTACCCTCTTCTTCATCTAAATGGAGCACTGATTTTCTAACACTAGAAACATTCATAACTTCTGGATTACCCACAAGTGTCACTGCACCATGATCTGTGAGCAGCTTCACCTTTTGGTGTAAGGTAGAGGCTACCGCCCTATTCTCATGAAGCCAAGGTCTACCGAGCAAAAGGTTAAAGCACGCTTCAATATCAATTACCACAAATTCAACATTTCTAGCCACTGGTCCATATTCCAAAAGTAACTCAATTGACCCCAAATAGTCCCTTTTGGCATTGTCATAAGCCCTAACAACCTGTCTTGAAGGTGTCAAATCTTCTTTTTGATAACCGAGCTTCGTCATAACTCGATAAGGACATACGTTGATGGCAGAACCATTGTCAATAAGTACCCGGGGTATTGTCCACCCATGACATTTCACAGTTATGTGCAAAGAGTTGTTATGGTTGACACTTTCTGGGAGATCATCGTCGGTAAACATTAAAGTGCGGTTGGCTCC